AATCGTTTGGATCAACCAACCGACCCAGCGTGGGCTGCCAGCTTGAAAAAAGGATGGCAACAGAAGAGAATGGATAATTTCAATATCATTGTATCTGGTGGACACCAAGATGAAGATCTTGTGCACGATGGTTGGACCGATATCCTGAGGAACCTTTCGGTCTTTGGGGGGGCGGATCAACCCACTGCAAAAAAAGAAGCAGCTTCCGCAATGCAAATGGCCGATTTCAAGAAGATGGAACAAGTCCGAGCTCGAGTAGACCAAATCGTTAAGGACCCGGCGACCGCGGGGAGACTGAAAGCATATTACAACCAGTTCTGCAAGCGGCCTTGTTTCCACGACGAGTATCTCCCCACCTTCAACAGAGACAACGTTACCTTGGTGGACACAGACGGAAAAGGAATCGAGTGCATTACCGAGAATGGAATCGTGGCAAACGGCAAAGAGATCCAGTTGGACTGTATCATCTACGCCACCGGATTCGAATTTAGCACCGATTACAGCAAGCGAAGTGGAGTCGAGATCAAGGGGCTCAACGGAACCACCCTCACTGAGAAATGGGAGGATGGAGAGAAGACAAGCACGTATCACGGATTGTGGTCTCGAGGCTTTCCCAATCTCTTCATTGTCAGCATCATGCAGTCGGGCTTGACTCCAAATTTCACACATATGCTGGAAGTGCAATCGAAACACATCGCCTATGTAGTCAAAGAGTGCAAAGAGCGGAAGGTGAAGAGCATTCAGCCGGAGGAAGAGGCAGAAGAGCAGTGGGTGAAAACTATTATGGAGGGGGGTAAGCTGCAACAGAATTTTGTGAAGGAGTGTACGCCAGGATACTACAACCAGGAAGGCCAGATTACGGAGAGAGCTCTACGTAACTCTAATTATGGATTTGGCTCTGTTGCTTTCATCAAACTTTTGGAGGATTGGAGAGGAGCCGGGAAGCTGGCCGGGCTGGAGTTGAAGACTGAATAAAGTGTAACTGATCATGACACTGGAGTATGGGTTCTATAGGAACCATGGCATGAGCGTACGAAGCTGACGCATGTGATACATGTAGTAGGTAGCTAATACTTGAAATGGTGCTATTCGAGCGGGGAAATACAGAATTGGTTTATTAATGAGAATGTGTTTGGAATATTGTTTGATAATTACCTGCAGGGAGATCTAGCGAGCGACTAACTGTCGCTATGACCAAGTGCCAATTTACCAGCGCAAGTAATAACAAAGTCAGATTCTCTCGCCAACGGATGGGCAGCGCTAACTAGACAGTGGTTGGGATAATAAACTGCTCTAGTTTAGTTAGTTATATAGCATCTCCAGCCACAAGGGTAACAAAAGGCCGGCATCTTCCTACCCTTAACTAACTATCCTGAACCCCTAATATACCCCGCCTTGACCCCATCAACTTGGATCCACATATATCTAGGATTTCAAGGCTGGGTTTCACTTTGGTAGTAGATTGAGCTAAGCCTGTGCTCAAGAGTGCCTCGGTCACTTTTCCTTTCGGCTCAATTGTGTCTTAAACCAGACACTATTTAATGCTGGGTGAACTGCAATGAGGGAGCATGATATAGCACTGTATGCAGACAGAGTCTTCCCATTTCCATCTTGATTGTCGCCCTTGTCTTCCGTCCAGTGTTAGTTTCTATCGAGCTGAAAATGTCTTTTGAATCATACCTCCAGGCTGCCACCGCGGAAGGCCCTAATCGCACTCTCCCAGGCGTTGTCGTCGTAGCAGCAAACAAGAGTGGTAAGTTTCATTCCGGACCATTTGTCTCCAAACTATTCTGATGTTATCATCCATAGGAATCACCTACAAGCATGCATCTGGAACCCAGTCTCTTGATCCTAATTCTCCTCTCGTCAACAAGCCATTCGCGGCTGACACTGCACTGTGGATTGCCTCTTGTACAAAACTACTTACAGCAATTAGCATCCTACAGTGTGTAGAGAAGGGGCTTCTTGATCTTGATGCAGACCTCTGTGATGTTCTTCCGGAGTTCAAAACACTCAAGATTTTGACTGGATTCGAGGGTGAAACACCAGTCTACAAGAAGCTGGAACGTAAGATCACCCTTAGGGCCCTTCTTAGCCACAGCAGTGGGTTCGGATATGCTGGATTTGATCCGAAGCTGGAGAAGGAAGTTCTCTTGCGAGGCGGTAAAGTTGAAATGACAGGCGACTTGGTATGCTCTCTCGTCGTTATTCAAACACACAAGCTGTGCTCTAAGCACTTTTATAGATGGAACATATCTCTCTCCCACTTCTTTACGAACCATGCACGTCATGGTCTTATGGAGTCGGGATTGACTGGGCTGGCCTTGCTTTGGAACGGGTCACGAAACAACCTCTCTCCGCTTACATGGACGCAAACATTATCAATCCACTTGGCATGACACGCACGTCATTCAGACTCTTATCACGACAAGATATTCTAGCAGCTCGATCAGATATGAGCATGCGTCTCCCTGACGGCTCTCTCACCCCAAGCCCGACTCGCTTCTTTCCCGACGATTCCAAGGACGACTACGGTGGAGCCGGCTTATTTTCTTGTGCCGAGGATTACATCAAAGTTCTAATTGACCTCCTGCAGGACGACTCGAAGTTGCTCTCCGGGGCAAGCAAAGAAGAGCTATTCAAACAGCAGCTTTCCGCCGAGTCTAAGACGGCGCTGAATTTTCTGCTGTATGGAGATTACGAAGAGAACAAAAATGGAGAAATCGGCGCAAAGTTCCTTGGTGGATTGCCAGCAGGAACTGATGTGGGATATTCAATCGGAGGATTGCTTGTTGAGGCGGCTAATGGTGCAGGCCCAAATCGGAGGAGCAAGGGCGCACTGTCATGGAGTGGATTGCCAAATCTGCATTGGATGATCGATAGGGAAAAGGGGGTTGCGCTGTTTTATGCGAGCCAGTTGATTCCTCCAGGAGACCTGAAAACATCTGAGGCGTTCGCTACCTTTGAGGAGGCTATTTACCAGGGTAAACTTTGAGGAAAGCGCGGAGCATCAAGGAGAACTCTATGAAATTCCACGTTAGCAGAAGCATCATATATTTCTTTGGCAGCGTCCATGATGTCTCGTGTACTTCATCTATCTCTTCTGGGTTCCGCACCCACCATCTAGTGTAAACGATGATGTGAAGAATTCCCTCTGCGTATTTTTATTTCTTATTTTATTTATTTTATTTTAAAGAAAAATAAAATATAAATAAAATAAATAAGCAAGCCACCTACCCAAATAACGCGTCCCCAGGAAAAGGTGCCTGAAGAACTTTTTCCCCTCGACTCCAAAACCATTATTGATTCAAACTTTTCTCCCACTCAATTTTTCCCCTGGTCACTTGTTCTAGCCGCAACAACACAGAAGCTCCAGGTACCGGTGGGTGTGCGAGATGGAAGGAGAAAGCATCACCGTGTGATCATTCATATGATGTTATCATATGCTCCATTGACTGCTGGGGCCAAAACAAAGACGTCTGGAGCCCGGAGTACAAGGTGTTGTCGGGTAACGGGGTTAGAGTATAGATAGTGGTTTTTCAGAATGCACCAATTACTGCCTCCCATAGTTGTCGTTTTCACTGGCTGGATCACTAGCAATCTTACATGCCAGCATGGTCAGCCATAAGGCTATAATCATCCATAAGACCCATGCTGGTCGTGAATCGCATACCTTACCATTTTGGCGCGGCATCGAGGGACTTTGATCTAGACGAATAAATGTTGTTAAATTGCCGGGTTAGGGTAACCAACACCCCCATACTTCGGCTTTGTGACTGGTTCACGTAACTAATCCACCTCCAAACCAAACAGCAGATCCGCAATCACCCGGCTAGTGACTTGGCGCTTCCACCAATCCATCCCTAGTTGGTATCACTCCACCTTTGTGCAAGAATCACGTCCGCGGTAAAACTAGGATTTGAGGAATCCGAGTTTCTGCCTATGTCCATACTGTGTATAACGACAAAAGACATTGGTTCCCTCATCGGCGCTCCTCAACTGTAATTCGGCCCAAGTTACCACCTTCGTATGGCATTTCAGGAAGTCTTTTTGGATCCACCAATTACTTTCATGATCCTCACAAGTCCCAGTGTCAAGGTTTCACCGGGCCTACTGTCTGCCTATAGTCCAGATGGCATCCTTCTTTCTCGTGTCTTTAGGGAGGTTTGCAACTGATGCGGCTTCGAAAAGTTTCATTGGGCAGCTGCTCCAGCATTGAAGGCAGCGTCCAGAACCAAAAGCCGTCCTAGTTATGGACAACGCATCATTCCACCGCTCAGCCAGGATAAAGCAGATGTGCTTTGAAGCAGGAGTGAAACTGCTATATTTGCCATCACACCCCCCTGATTTGAACCCAATTCAGGAATTCTTCGCTGAACTGAAGGCGTACATTAAGAAGACCTGGTAATTATATGAGGAGGACCTTATACAGGGTTTCTGCACTTTCCTTCAACGGTGCGTTGATGTCATCGGCGCAAAAAAGGAGAGTGCTGACCGCCACTTTCGAAACGTTGGCATATCAATTAAGATAGTTTCATCATTGTGCACTATTCCTTCACGTTTCTGGAATTCAACCGTGTAAGCTCTCCTGCTATCAGGTAGCCGCCGTTCTAGCTTTTGCAACCCGTCAATCACAGTAGAGAGCTCACATTTTTCTAGTCACTCGTGTTGACAGGTCCTGAGAACTCGGGCTTGCGTAAGGATAAAAGTTCAAATAAACCACGAATAATATACTTATTATGCTCCATACGGTGGGATAAAATTTTTCATTATAACGCTTATGAAGTAGCCTGAATGACAAAAAGAAAATCAGCAAAATCACCAAATGTTCATATCACCTCTGGGTATTCACCCCGGTCTTGTACCAGCAAAATCTAGGGAAGCATTAGCAAAATCAACTCACGCATTTCGTGCCTGCTCGTAATAAAATTTGCTACTTCTTTCCTCTCACGGCGAGTTCCTTTGCCGGCTCGGGAGGACTGAGAATCTATTTCAGAACGTCAAAGGCTCCCTCCGTGTCGTAGTGGTTCTCGCTGAGGTTGTCCATGGCCCTCAGCGTTAAAGTGAGCGTTGAGTATTTTTCCAATGGGTTGCAGGTCGCTTGGACTATACGAACTTTCCCGCAGATGAATGTCACAACCGTGGCCTAGCCTGCCAAAGAGTGAGCCATAAAACTTGATAAAACGTTAGGAGATGGTAAGCAAAAATGAAGAAAGGAGCATCAAAGGTATATCATCTTACTTACTTTTGAGCCTCAGTAAAGGGAACTTCGTCTAGAACCTGGTGGGCCGCAGTCTTCCTGAAACCAGAGAAATCCCAGTCGATTAGGGGGCCTTGAGCTTTCTCCGGCGCAGCAACTCTCTCGAACTTGTGGATGGCATTTAGGAGGTCTGGAGATATTGGGAAAGCCAGCTCTTCTCTAGTGGTGTCCTACACGCACATTGAGATCCTCTGTTTTTTGCAGCCACTCAAAAGGGAATGTGTCTGGCGAGCAGGAGAGGTACAAACAATAAAAGGTTCGCCATGAGCTGGCCAACGTCCCCCGGGTGATTGAATCGAATTTTGCTGATTGCATGATGTGCTATCAATGGAAATGTGTGCTGCTCTGCTGGTCTGATGGGTATTTGTTGTGTGTTGATGATGTTGATGGTGAAGGCAGAAAACAAGCAGGCACCCAGCACGTCACTCGATATCAATGGGAGGAAGTGAATTTGCGCCCCCTTTACACTGCCTGCTGTCTGTCGCCCTCATCTTCTTCCTCTGATCCTGTATCAACCTTGTCCCTAATTCAGTTGCTCTTTGCCTATCTCCGCTGTCTTGTTAATATATAGGTTATCAGCTCATATATAGTTAACTTTTAAGGTTAAACTTAGCACGTCCCAAGGCCGCCCAAGTTCTGGAAAAAATTCCGACCAAAACAAAAAAAGGATGGCATGAAGCAATACAGAAGTATGACCTTCAACAGCGCACTCTCGAACAACTAAGCATGGAAGGTAGCTGTTCCCTGATGAACTTTGGGTCTAAGTACACGCTTCTGATGTCTAAAGGGCCACACAGGGAGTTTCTCCGCATCCACGGCTCCAAAAGAAGCATTCTTTAACTACCGTCCGAAGTATTTGGCTCGAAAAGAACAGGCCCAAGGACGCCTCGACATAAATTTTGCCAACCTTGAGTATTTCCTCAACGAAGACCATTCCGACGATGCCACGAAACTTATGAACAGAAACATTCTTGGGACTTGACAAGCTTAAGAACTTGGATCGCATGATATGCGCTCCCAAGGAACCCCGCAGGTGCACCCTTCTGAATATATTTGGCACACTTGCAGATGGGCTAGGGCCCGTCTAGATGCTGGTTGATGGTGTGTAAAACCAACTCCTGGATAGATCAATTCAGGCCTCGGTCCATCAACGTCCATTGGACGGGTATTCCCGAAAGAACAGGATTCTATGACGCTACGCGGCCCTCAGCACGTGTAGATCCTGCAAGTCCAACCTGCAGGGCTTTCTCTCAGCGGAGCTTGGCATAAAGAATTCTGAGAGATGACAGATGCCGGATATCAGCCGACAGCCTGTCATCCTCCTTGTACTCCTCCTGCTGCACCTTCAGTGCCAGGACCAGCAGAGGAGGAGCCAACCTCATCGAACGCCAACCGAGACTCTTATTGCGGATTTTATGGTTACTCTTCTCGGGTGTTTAGCAAGCCTTGTGCAGGCTTTTAACCCCAGGCCCATCTGCATCAGAAGTCCTTTTAGACGATCTATACATTTGGCCCCTGTCCGTAATACTTCTCAGCAACAAGACGACGTTCGGTTCTGATCTTGTATTGACGGGAGCATCCCATTCGGCCTATCTCAGGCTGAGATGCCACGGGAAGCCGCCATATTCGAAGCAAAACGTGTTGTGCGTAGGGATAGCGGGGGGCAGGATCCTGTTTTCTCCCAGCAGTGAATGGAGCATTGCGACGTTATGAAGATGACCCGACAGCGATACCAACCCCCTTACTTTTGCATGTTCCTCTATTTATGGTCATGGAAGCTCTTACTGGAAGTGTGAATTCTTTTCTTATCTTTTCTTTGATTTCTATCACTAACTTACTTTCAGTCAGCTGGTTTACTCTCTGAGTTCTGAGAAAGGGGAGCTTTTATTGTCTTGACTTTGTAAATAACTCCCTAGCAAAATATCTTTCAATTCTTCTTATATGATGAGCAGCTGAGTAACACACGATTCTGAGAACTTTTATTGATAGAGGTACATGAAGCTATTCAAGCTAGTTAAGAAATAACAGAGGATTTGTCATTGAGCTTCATTGCTTGAGATATTGTGGTAGTTGATGAAGAAGTCTTAGAAACTGATCTGGTGAACTGGCTTGATGAGATCTGTGAGTGTCTCGAATGTCTGATCATTGCCTCAGGATTTCAATGGGGATCCATCCTGCCTGCTTACATGCTTGTTGTATTGACCCCGTGCACCAATCCAATGAGTCATATCAAACCATCCCCATGCACATCCAGGTGCAGAATACGTTATCCATACCGAGCTAGAACATGGGGGGGCGGCCATAAATACCAGGGTTGTTACCAGCCCATGATAGATAGACGGTTATCACTTCCGTTAGGGGATACGATTGGCTTACAGCTCGGGGGAAAGAAAATTGGATACTCAAACTGTTGTCCCTAAACCTCAGTGCAGCCGGTACAATTCATCAAAAAGAGCTGTTGCATTCATTGCCTTGTGTTTCTGCCGTCACTGCCAATCAGCTAATGCAAATGAGACCTTGATGCTGGGGATGCTATAGAGCACCGTGTTGGATCGACGATCCATTTAATGATTCAGTTGGTAGCCCGGTAGGTCTGTCCTGAACCAGGTGCAGCTAGAACAACTGATCCCGAAGAGCTGTGAATTCTTGCTTGAGATTAAGAAAGTCAACGAAAATAATTCTGCAGCTTGCAGTAGTGCATAGCGACTGCTCATATCTAGTGCAGGGCAATCAATGTTAGTCAGAAGGCCAGCGGCGTTGAGTTCGGCCTGTAAGTTAGATGTATGGCTGCATAACTAACCACACTATTTGTAATGATTGGTTTTATGATGGTTGGGGACAGACAGGCAGAACTGCACATGCAACCCAAGCTGAACCAATACCAAAACATTGTTGCCTGCCGATAATTATGTCCTTGTGTATGCTCCGCATGACATGAAAATTCACAGCTGAAGAGTTTTACCTAGAAACGCTGCATAGATGATTAGTTACATAGTAAAAGCACCCGAACTGAACGTGTTCAAGAGCCACTCCATGGACGTGGGGGACATCTTAAGTAACTACACGGAACTCTCGACTGTGCACTAGGTCAATAATGAACAGGACATCACTTTTGGCCAAATGTGACGCGAACGGGACGGGACGGGACGGGGTCTGACCTGAATAGCCGGCTGTACCAGGCTCAAAATTTTGATCAAGGGCTTCCCAATACGTAGCTGCATCCATTCCACACTGTGACTGACGCTATGCAAATCTGGTGGCTTCTGGAGCTGTGAGATGAGGGCACGAATGAAGTTTGAAAAGAAAGGGATGGAAGCTGCCAAAGGTAAGAAATCTTTATTCAATGACTGGCCTCACGGGCGTGCCCTTCTATCTGCTGATCAGCCGAACCTTCAGGATCACTGAGACCCAAGATGTGGGAGACACTGAATCCATCATCATCATCATCATCATCATCATCATCATCATCATCATCATCATCATCATCATCATAACCCATACTGATAACCAAAACAGCATTCTCATTAAACTTTTCTGGCAAATACAGGGACAAGCAGTTCGTAACAGATAGCTCCCCCTTTGTTCTGCTGCTTTTTCCATAGCTCGCTCCTCTCCATGCCAGTCCAAAATGATTGAGGAAGCTTATCAATCGTACGATGTCTCATAGAAGAGAAGGGCAAGCACCAGTTATCAAACAAAGTTGGATTTCCTGATAATATGAGCCTTAACTCCGTATCCTAAAATGTAATTTTTACATCCCTAAAACTTGAGATTCCAACCACGGATGCTTTGACAATGGTTCACCAAGTTCAGCAGGGTTGTGATATGTTTGTCTTTAGTATTGCCCCTCGCTAGGATACAAAGCATTTGTTGAACTTTGGTAATGCCTTGCATAGTTGAGGTGTTAAATTGGAATGACATGTATGTTCTAAGAATGCCATTTGCGCTCACCTGCTAAAAATACACATCCCGAATTGCCAGGTCGCTCTGTAGGCGGGAGACTGTGGTGCGCCATCAACGGCAGGGACATACTTCTACTCTCGTCGGCGGAGGGAATTGCGGAAGAGCCTAAGCTCTCTTCCTTCAAGCCATGATAGATCCTGGCAGAGGGTGCTAGAAACTTCAGAACGAGATTGACGATGCGGGGTTCGATGCCCACAACTACTTAAGCTAGTCGTTCAATGGCCCAGGTGGAACTTTAGGCAGACCAGAAATGGTATACGACAGAGAACGAAGAGTGAATAGTAGCAGATATAGATCTCTCTCTGATTTTCAGTTCCGCAAGCTGACAACTGGAAAAAAGATTTCACATAAAGCGCTAGTGCAGCACTTCTTTGAAAATGAATTGAATGAATGTTCTTCCTGTCTTAAGCTCTGAGCTTGTATTAAAAGGAAAATCTCAAAAGCTACTGCTCAATTTCAATTATATTAACTATTGCAAAGAAATCCTCTCTTCTGCAGTTAAATACTTTTACAGTAAAGGAACTTGTCTTCTGGCTTAGATTTTCTTCTCAAACTTGGTGTTTTAATAATGCAGCTCACTGCCTCTGACTTTCAGAGCTAGTTAACCAGTTAGTTAACTATCGCTAGTTATTAGTTGCAATAGTTTAATCAATTATGACAATCTCGACTCGATTGCTTTCTCATGCTTTCTTATGCTCTTTGTTCAATTCCTTTGAAGCATAAGAGTGATGAGTCAAAAATGTCACAGAGCAGAGTTTTAATTAACAGTTGTTATGAAGTGATTTCGCGTTTATTTGCCCTCTCCCAACTTCCCCTCCGTTTTAGGAATGGAGGGTGAAATGAAACTCGCTCCAAAATTCAAATATTGACAAAAATGTAAAGCCGGTAAAAAGAGCGCTAGTACCAATGCAGATGGAGAAGTGAGAATAAAACGAAAAACTTGAAAATTAAGAATTTAAGGGATAGCTGATGAGTTCAGAGAGAGTATCATGTGTATTCCCTTTTCATCATATCCTCCCTGTCGAGGATTTTCTCTTTCGAGCCCTCCTTCAGCTCACCCATTCACCAACTCCCTATATGCCAATTCCTATTCAGTATTTCATGATTTTGGAGCAGTGGAGGGGGTCTATGTTGTGCATATCCGCCGGGCGGTCGCTGGAATATCTATTTGCCTGTTTTGCCTGTTGTTTTACGCACGGTTGGTGGTGTCGTATATCGCAATTCATCGGACAAACTTCCTCCGTTTACTTGCACGTCTAGTTCCGTCGAGAGACCGAGATAAATCATCTATGAATTTTCGCGAAGACAGTGCTAATGTATTCAGTGGTTAACGGTTTAGTTCTTAAGGGTTCCCCTTTCAACGCATGGGGGGTGTGTTGGATTATTCGATTCTCGCGAAATAAAAATATTTAAGAATGATTGCTATTCAACGCAGGTAGTTGTTTGGCACGCGAACCCGCTGGCCCGAGGCAGGGGAGGTTCGTCGGCTCAAGTCGTCACCGAATAGCGACCCACGTCGATAGATGTATAGCCCATTTCGCGAGAGGCTGAGGCTGCTATGGGGGATAACAGCAGATGGCATGGTCTGTCGCTGAAGTATGCGTGGCTGATTCAGGCTGGTTTCGATGGCTGGTTTCGGGTTATGAACTACTATAGGGACAGTCCGTCGCCGGGTTGGGAGCATAAGACCACTTTCCAGGGCCTTGAGCAAATCATGCACTACATGGCAGTCATTTGGAATCAGGACCTGGCTATAACGACCCTGTTCGCGATCAACTAGCGAATATGCTTTCCCACATTTCTGGTAAACATATTGCAATATGTTTGTCGCATAGTAGTTCCCTCGGCTGCAAAGTGGTCTCCCATTGCAGAAGGTTTCGTATGGGCGACTGCATACAATGCAGCGAAGAGCGTGTTGCGAATATTTATCCATTACATATTTCTCGTCATCTCGCGGCTGTCGCGAGAAACCAGATCGCTCTATGTAGGGTTCGCGAATGACAGAAGGCATCGTGTAGAGTCGGCGAAGAGTCTGGTAGTCGTATGAAGGTGTAAAAGATTTAAGACCACAGCCCGTTATATAACGAGGGGAGTGATAGTAAGTTGTCGTAGGGTGGCGATAAGAAGGCACCGTGTAGAACACCCTGGCAGGAAGTGGATGTGGAAGAAAACACAAATTGAAAGAGAAAGTTGTTGAAGATAAGATGGAAGAGGCAGTGAAGGGAAAATTATCAGGCTTATATGTTTTTATGGAAGAGGTGCTTTGGATTTATATGTCTGATTGGAGGAGGGGAATGGAGGGGAATGATGATCTATATAAGTTTTTCTTCCACCTGAACAACCAACACGCACTGACCAGGTCAACACTGGCGATAAGCATCGCAGATTTTAGTCCGAGCAACAAGGGCGTGGGGACTGATCAAAAAAAAAAATAATAAAAATAAAAATAAAGAAAAAATGAAAAAGAAAAAGAAAAAAAGAAAATAGAAAAGGTAAAAGATTCAAGTGCAGCGCTAACGATCCAGGGGGGTGTGGATGCCTTTGAAATAAAACAGTCGGATACCCAATCTGGTGCCATACCGTAAATAACACCCAAAACTTGCACCAAAATCATTTTGCGTGGTAATATACCTGAAACATACTGTTAGAATACATCACCAGGCAACTCCGTCGCAGAAGAGCTTGAGCAGAAGGACGGTGCTATTCCAAGCCAAGCAAATTCCAAGATCCACAGGTCTGCAGGAGGGGCCGCTTTTGGTTTAGAGTGATGCGGCGCAGGAACTCCCGTGGCTGATGGCCCACTGGGGGAACTAATATGAGGTCGTGCCTGTAGCGCACGGGAAGGGAACACCGTTCGGACACTTGACTCGCAAATCAGCAGCAATTTGTTGATTCGCCATTTGTTTGAAAACAAAGGATAGGTTATCAGCTCAATATTTCGGTAATCTACACATCTCGTCATGGTATGTGTATACCCAGGCAACTACCTCCCTCGTCAAAGTATTAGCTGCATAAAATCAAATCTGTGAAGTCAGTTGTGAGGATTTGAGAAGGAGCATGATACGGTTCCCGGTTTGACAGACTCCCAAGTTGTCAGCATGGGACTTGTCATCTGAACAGCCAGCTCACATTGTCCAATAAGAGCACCGGAAGGGTAAAAGGTAAGGAGGAAAAGTAATGACTCAACGGGGTCACCCACACTACCCGCTGCCAGCTGCCACGGGGACTCAAACACCACCCCACCGTAGTGTAGTGTGCAGGAGAAAATCCAGCTTAACGATGTCGGCCCGCAAGAACATGAGTGTGGTAGTAAAGGGCACATTGATCGCACCCCTAACACTACGGGCCAACAACCTCAGCCACAGCAGTGTTTCTCCACAAGCTTGGTGAGCTAGTGTGAGGCTCAATTCGATCCTGGGGACAGGGGTTGGACAGGATCACGCACCGCCTCAGTTCGTATTCCTTTAGGGAAGCAAATGCCACACTCAAGGCACACCATTTTCTTGATTTGGTCATGTTCTCGCGACCGGTCCTGAGAAGGCATAACGCGGAATGGCATCCGTAGCACCCCCACGCTGCTTGTCTACAGAATGGATCTTGGTCTTATCAGAAAGATGGCGCCGCGGAGGCTCCCAAGATTACAAGGCCAGTGCGCCATGCCACAGCAGCGGACGGAAGAAAACAACGTCGTGTCAATAATGCCAAGGAATACATACCATGGCAGAGTAGCGTATCTGCATTTGCGAATCTATCCCAACATGGGCATCCACCATCATTGACAACACGGACATGCTCGAAATTCGGTTGTTCGTAGGGGCCCTGTGGCGTTGACATCGCACTTCTGGCGGGAAATGGAGGTGAAACTCTTTGACAGGCTTGTGTTAGGGGTGCAAAAGTAGCAGGGGCGGATATTGATGTCATGCCCTGAACCCTGACCAGCGAGTTCAAGCAGAGGAAAACGCCTTATGCAAAGAGTGAAAATGGACCTTTGGCAGATCTATCGGTCCAATCGGTGGCTTTGGCTTTTGATTTTGGCGCAGCAACCACCTATTACTGTTTTGGAGTAAGCAATGCGGATAGATACTATTTTCTCAACCGGTAACTAGAGCAGGCGGTTGGCGATCCATGCAAGCAACATTGAACACCATAAGAATATGAACAGTTGCATGTTTCTTTTGTAAGTTTGTCCCGCCTTGTCGGAACGATACCACATCAAGCAGTGATATCATAAGGAACACGGAACGAAATGAACGTCAAAAGGAGTAACTATTTTCACTTTTGCTTCTGATGGAGCGCAATCCTTGTGTATTACTGCGTAAATACAAGCGCCCGTCCCTCCAATAGCTGACACTGTGCTATGACGTATTGCTGTATTGAAGCTGTAAACACCAATGCTGTAACTAATAATCCCGACCAGCTCAACGTATCATCAACCGCTGACGTCAGTCTTCTCAACACAGTAGATATAACTGCCAGCAGCTCACAACATCTTCATCCCAAGGTCTCAACTCATGCATTGCGCCACCGAATTGACGGTTACTCCCATGGCGTTGCATATGCAATGCAATTATATTTCAACAACCAGGCAATACATCAACACTCGAAAGGTATTGGCAGCCGCCTCTTCCGGTGTCTCTCCAAACCAAACCGTCCCTTTTTTGGTATCTCAGGTTACAACTCAATGGATGTTCATCGCGTCCTAGAACGATGATTGATTGTTTCTAATTTTATTCTTCCGTTTCAAGTTTCTTTCGCAATAGATGTCGCGGCACTACATGCCTGCCCTTTGGATGTGCCCAAGATTGCACACTGCCCCTGATTTTTTCTGTCATCCAAGCTCCAAGTCTCTTATCAACCCTTCCGGCTGTCTTTTTTTCTTTGAGGCTGTGCTAAGTGAGATCTCACGCATTGCTCAATTGTGTTTTGATTATTTCTATCATAATATACCAAATTGACACTGACAGTCTTGGGCTAGCCGGATACTGATCCCGTCTCTTTTTCCCTGTTTTTTAGCCCCCCTAAACCCCATCATCCCTTCGGTACCACTTCATCTGCAATTCCTTCGGCTTTTGTTGCTGACAGTGTATTCTTAGTTGTGGCACATCCACTTCTATCCACTTTCATGGTCGTGTCATTACTCATGAAATGTTATGCCTTGGTGGCGCAAACGTATGCGGTAGGGGAGGCAGCTCTTCTTAACTTCATTATGTGACGAAAGGAGACAGGAAAGATATCACCCGATTGCTGAGAATTGTCATTTTGCCACCGTTTTGAAAGGGGAAACTCATAGTCCAAAATTACGGGCTATCTGAGGGGTTTCGCTAGCCCGTCCGTCGTTCACAACCAAACACCCCCAATTTACCTCTTGATACCTACTGTGAATTTCGTTTACTTAGGCAATATTCGCCTCCTTGATGCCGCCTAGCGACGGTAGCATAGTCAGCTGAGTTTGGTTTCCCGTGTGTGCCTTGCTAGGTCTATCCTTCCCTGAGGACTAATGTTCCCTGCAGACGTATTTTACCTATACACTGGCAGATGGCAGAACTCACAACATCTGACGTACCACTCAATGCCAGTATGCCTTTTATCTAGGAGGACGATAATGGCATGGATCCGGCTCCGTTCGATCCCGCCGTCTTTTATTTCTGGTTTATTTACTGCCTAAGCTTCATGGAACTTCATTTGTGGAGAGCAGCTGAATTTTATCCGATATCTGTGAAGCGGTTTTCTCCGGATGATGGTATTATGTATATTCCTGGCAGCCATTACCTTCTTCGGTAAAATGCTGCAACGCATGATCTCAACCCTTTAATGGCAAAATAGCTCTCTTCACCTTCGCTAAGCTCCAATCCAAGAGAAATGGACTCTAGGATCTCCCTAGCCACCTCGTCATCAGGAACTGTTACCTTGATTCCTTAGCGAGCAGCCATGGGGCTACTTTTTGAGTGGTTCTCTACACCCCAGGTTTGCTAGCGTTACAGGCGCATCCCTTACTCTCCTCAGAATGTATGCTCTTTGCCACGCCTACGTTGAGGTGTTGTTATCTTAAATGCCAGCTTGTGAAATTCTCTATCTAAATTGGGTTTCTCGAGGAACACCATGATGAAGAGGAATAAGTGATTGCGATGGACAAAATAACGTCTAACGGTGACTTATCCGGCTTAAACATACTCCTCGCCAGTGCTAACACCTCTTACATATTTTGATTAACTAACTCTGTTTCTATCTTTTAACGGACCCTTGGTTTCTACTTATCTAAGTTGTCCTTGACCGAACCACTAGACCAAACCACCCTTCAAATTTTCTCAGCTAGTACTATTAGTGCTATCGGTGCAATCATTTGAGAACTCCAACTAAGAATGGCTAAGCCTGACCGTGCCTTGTATGTACAAATCCGACTGCTCCTGTAATATCCACCAATATTGATATTTCGTGAGCTAACATATTGCAGCTCTGCGAACATTACGTCTAGTTGCATTACATACCGATACATTCGCCGAACGGGTCTAATGGAAGCACGGAAAACTACCGTTTGAGCACGCCTAAGAGCGCTCTCATCCTTGATTCCAGCGCAACATTGCCTTGCGGTGACCTGCTCTGCACCCAATCATGCCTGGCGAAGCAGCCACCCACAGTGAACATTTGTACTGCAAACTATTTTTTTTTTTTTTTTTTTTTTTTTCAATATCCAAAACACCCGGGGAGGTTTGTATTTACCCATGATCGATGCGAACGTGCGCATTTCTTTCGAGGAGAGAGTGGAGCCCTAATTAGGAAATCAGAGTGTCCCATTACACATTTGCAACACCAATATAAATCAATTTTTGTATTCCGAGGGGATATCTACCTGCTCCCTACGCAGTAGGTAGGTCGGTATCGCTTGCTGCAGAACGTCACATGACATGCAACAATCACAGGCCGTTGTGACAGGACAACGCATATGAAGCACTTATCACCATTTTGTTTTGAAAAATACATCAAGATTACCTTACTCTGATGTTCCTCTCGAAATTGGCATGTTCATCTCGCAGAGTTAACTAAATCCCCAGGCGCCCCAGATGTTAAGAGAGGGGCAAACGATTCAACAGACGAAACCACCACTGATTCTCAGGGGACCTCATGGATTCGAGCTGCGAGTGATAGACGTGAACTTTGATGGAACGGGTGTTGCAACAATTGCCAATATACACGTAAATAATGGTGCTGTTGAAGTGCTTAACACGCTTCGTGAAAATCTGAGCCGTGCCCGTATCTACGATATTTTCACCGACGGCAATAATGTATGGGAACCATTTAATGACCACTTTACACAACCCGCTGATGTTCAAGAAAACTCTATTTGGGACCAAACGATTAATTTTTGATGCCGTACAAAATTAAGGGACCTGGCTGTTGTCACCCGGATAAGCATCACACTTCCGTACATTTCTCCGGGGTTTCACCTCCCAAAATCCCTCTATGGTACTACCATCTCTTTGGCCACTTCAGACTTGCTCGAGGTGGAGATAGCCAGCTGGTCATGAAAGTAAAAAGGATGAGGAGATGCATTTTTGTTCACCTCAGTGCTGAAAAGCTGATAGGTATGAAACTTGAAAGACTACAGCCCATTTTTCATTGTCTAGTAATTACAATAACTAGTTAGTACTTCATCAACGAACAAGAGAGAACTCTTCACCAACGAGTATAGATATAACAAAAGTGCTCAGTGATCCAAATTTACTTCTGAGACCTGCAGATGGGTCAAAAGACTGCTTTACCACATTATCCCTATTAGACAGCTTTAAGATTCGACTTCCGGCTTTTACTTCTACTTTAGAACGACAGCACTTGGCTATTATGTCGTGCTAGTTACTATACATTAAACTTCAAGGACTTGTTACGATGCATTCAGAATCCAGCCGGGTGCAGAGTGGAGTCAGCGATGTCACGGAGATAATGGAATACCTAATGGGGAGCATGTCAATCGGTTTTTTGTAATATGAGCCCAAGGTCAAGTATGCCTGGGTGTTTTCACACGCTTCGCTTCAAATCAGCGAGAGCCAACAGGCTCGCAACAGTGTCTCTTGAAGAATACCAACGAATATGGAATCATCACAAAGATATTCTCAGCGCCCTCAACATAGCAAGCATGACGTATCTTTCGAAGCTTGCTACGAGCTTCAAGCATCCTTTCAATGCAAACTAGATTTTACGGATCTATGTGCCATACTTTATGATTTCATCGGGGTATTCTGTCTCCTTGGCACGTCTCACTAGGGGTATATTTCATCAATTCGTCTTCTGATCGTGGTTTTTGGGTATCTGCAGTCCGTGACATCTCTACAGGCGTTGGATGAATGGGTAGATTTTTCCACTAAGACAATATTATATTTCCGGAATTTTTCTGGCTCATTATTGGCTTTGCTTATTTGTAGAATATGACTATGAGGAATACGTAAGGACGACGAAGTTAAAACCATCACTGTTGGTCATGTTGATGACTTGTCCTCAAGATCTTAGAATTGTAGAATAGGTATAAAAATTAAAAAAAAAAAAAAAAAAAAAAAAAAAGGGGGGGA